ACTTTGCCAATATACTGTGGCATTTTTCAGGACACAGAACACACTGGTGGTAGCTAAGCACTCATCCTTTCTGTTGTCAAAATACCAAAAGTTATCACATTTAAATGAGTCTTTTTTTCCCTTTTCTCGTGTCTGAGACTAAACAGAGAAAGTAAAGGAAAGACTCAATAAGTGACGTGTCGACCGTGGAACAAATCCAGGTATTTTAACAGCTTGGAACCAGGTACAACATAGAACGGGACACCAGTACCCACACTTAGTTTCAAGCCTGGCCCGTACCTGACTTGTTGATAGGTGATAGTGTAAGGCTTTAGCATAAGCAGGGTCTTTGAAGATATTGGGTACGGAGAGCTTTTCATCAATAGCCTGCATCTTAAGGCCCAGGAGGTGTCTGTCTATGGCCTGGCCACTGATTGCCTGTAAAGAGGGAAAGAACTCATTTATCTGTGGTGTTAGTCACTAGATGGAAACTAAGGACAAATGAGGGTTATTTTATATTTTGTTATTGTCAACAAGTAGCAGTAAAGACAATACAGCAACAATTGGAAAAGCATTTTAGCAACCTTTGCTCACACAAGAGGAGACTGTATTTGCTGGGGACTATTTTCCAGTGGGTATAAATCCACATTTGGTGCTCTTTGGCAGCTGTGTGTGTGTGGTACTGAGACACAAACTACAGTGTGTGTGTGTGTGTTCATGATAATGAAGAACATTAACAAAACCCTTTGCAATGGGTTTTGCACAACAATTTACTTGCACAGAGCAGGGGTTTTCAACTAACTGTGACCCAGGGACAACCATTCAGCACAAGAGGTAACCTGAGGACCACCGTTTGAAAACCCCTGGCACAGTGGAATAAGATGGATAAGAACATTAACAAAACCCTCTGCAATGGGTTTTGCACAACAATTTACTTGCACAGAGCAGGGGTTTTCAACTAACTGTGACCCAGGGACAACCATTCAGCACAAGAGGTAACCTGAGGACCACTGTTTGAAAACCCCTGGCACAGTGGAATAAGATGGATACACCCATTATACTTGTTAGTAATATAATACCTGCACAGAATATCACCAGACTTGTTTTTGAATCTCTGCCAAGCCTGCTGCTGTGAATACTCACCATATTAGTGTATGACTTGTGTGCTTTTACAGCTTTCTCCATTAGATCAAGCTTCTCTGTGTTCTGTCAAAAACAGGAAGACAAAAAATATCACAGCACATCTACACAGATCAGTGTACTGTTCTTGTTCACATGGATCACATTATTCACATTCACACTGTAGGTTGAAAAAGTATATGTTACACTCAAAAACTGTCTCAACACATGACACAGCTATGTATACATGTTATTTGAATAGCACTGCACGGTCACTGAAAGTTTAGGTTGGCTGATAAACCCAGTCTGATCATGTCTGAGATCCTGGGTTGTAATCTGAGATTGTCAGTTTATTGCCAAAATAGGTGCTGTCAGTGATGAACAGAACTAACTGTCCCTCTCATCTGACCTGTAGTCTGGGGTTATCAAATGCCTTGACAAAGGCAGCTGAGGCACTTGAGGCTGATCTGATTGTATCTGTACGACCCAGTCTGAACATACGCAGCGAGGCACTCTCATATGTGGCACAGCATCGCTGGTACATCCTGCCAAAACAAGAGGAGAGTCAGTGAGAACACTTCAGAGACTTTCACTGTTTTAATTTAAAGAGTCACTGGGGCCTGAGTGTATAAAGCTAAGGGTAGTTGCTGCATGAACTATTTTGTGTGTTTATATTTGAAAGAAAAACAAGAATGATGATTTGATCTCAGGTGATGGATACAACCACCTCTGTAGTCTAACCTGTGGGATCAATATTTTTTACATGAAGACTTTGATAATATTTTAACTGTGTGCAGTGAAGTTAAGTATTTGGGTCATGTCATTAATGACTGTTTGTCTGATGACGGGGATATATATCGGCAGTGCCGCATGTTGTATGTACAAGCTAATGTACTGGCACGGAAATTTGGTGCATGCTCGGTTGGAGTAAAATTGGCTTAGTTTAAAGCTTATTGTACTTCCTTGTACACTGCCCATCTGTGGTGTAATTATAAAAAGGGCAGTCTTCGGAAACTGTCAGTAGCTTACTAGCTAAGGATATTATTGAAAAAGCCTAGATGGACGGGTGCTAGTGAATTGTTCGTGTCATCTCGAATTAGTACATTTTCCGCTGTTTTAAGAAACCTGATGTTTAAATTTATTTGTCGGTTGAATGGTTCAAAAAAATCATATCATTTTATTGTTGACCAATGTTGCACACAGTGACATGCGTTTTACTTCTGTTCTCTGGAAACACTGCTATACCTGTCTTTTAAAGGGGCAGTAGTTTTATGGGTGTTCTTTTGTTCTCATTTTTATGTATTTTCTGTTTTTATTGTTTCATTTTAAACTGTTCTTTTATTGCTTTTATTTGTTTTGAACCTGGACCTTGAGTCCGTAATAAAGTGTCATTCATTCATTTACAACTTAGTTGCATTTGGTGTGAGTGCAAAGTGTAAATCAGTTCCATACAAAGACTGTCCATTTCCTCATGACTTGTCAACATCTCACCTGTAGTAGGCCAGCTGTAGTGCTATTTGGATGAAGGCATCAGGGCTCATCTTGTGGGCCTTTGGGACATTTTTCCCAAAGTGACTAAATACCATAACCCTCATATCCAGATCCTGGGCCAGCCTGCAGTGGAAGAAATGACAGTGAGACCCAGGATATCATAGAGCAACATTTGATATTTAAGAGATGTGATGTTTGCTAATTTAGGGTTACTGGTCTTTAACCCTTAAAAGCATGGTAGTTTTTCAACCACTCCTACTAAATGTATATTCAGGTGAGGTACAGGCCACTGAGTGTGGTTATAGAAGCTGCCCTCACGTGTTCATACTCTGCTTGGCCTCCTCAATGACCTCCTTGATCTCAGGCGTGATACTGAAGTGTAGTATCTGAGGCATGGGCAAAGGCACTGTGGGAGACTGCGCCATTTCTGGCTTCCTCCTGTTACCAAACGTGAGAACAGAAAGGTTTGAAAAGATTAACCTAAAACAAATGTAGTCAAAAACATTCTCTAGCATAACCATTACTAGAGCTGTAGTTAATAAAGTCAAGGGTTTTTATTGCCTTGCTGCTGGCCATAAAAGATGTTCTAGTAAAGAAAAAAAAGACCTACAGAGCCTAAATTATCTCTGACCTACTACTTACATGTATTCTACAACATGGTCGATCAAGGCCACAATGGGAGGGCCTTCAGCTGGGGCATGCTCATAGTTTGCACCACACATCCCATCTTCTCCAATAATAAACTGAAAGAAACATCAGAAACTATTAGAGAACAAAAGGCAAAACAAGAATGTGCACTAGATCCAGCCTGAGGAGTGTGTTTTGAAGGTTAAAGCAAGTCAAGTCCTTCAGGAGAAGTCCAACTCAGGTGGCAAGTTTTTTTAAGAACTAGGGCTGGGCAAGATAAGGCGTTATTTTCGCGTTAACACATTACTTAATGCTGAGAATTATTTTATTGCACATTAATGCAGTTTTGTTTATTACTATTATTACCATTTTGAAAGTCCGTTGCTTACTGGCTCTGAATACACATACAGACAAACCGTGGGCCACAGGAGGGGTGGGATATTGATCAGTACTGGCTTGGAATGGGGGTTATCACACGTCTCAACCAATGAGGGCGTTTGGGGTGGGCCTAAGGACTACAGTGACAGCATTACAACGTGCACCAACTGTTGCTCTCACTGGAGGCTACTGGACATCGCAGGGTAACCATAATTACCTCGGAGTTAAAGTGCATTATATTGATGAACTGTGGGAGCTGCATTCACATGCTCTAACTGTAATAAAAACAGAAGAGAGACATTTTGCTGAAACAGAGCATTTCATTCATGTTGCACAGCAGTGGAACGTTTCAAATAAAGTCAGCACACTTAGCACAGATAGTGCAAGAAATATGATGGCTGCTGCAAGACATCTGCCTTTTGAACACATCCTCTGTCTCCATTGTTCTGTCACGTTTCTCTGCAGAACAGTTTGACAATGTCCTGGTCAAATGCAGAAAGGTTGTGGACCGCTTTAAACATAGTGCTGCAGAATTAGAACAACAACAAATTGGACACCTTATGTGTTTAAAGTGTTTGCAAACCAAATGTTATTGCACTTTTTTCATATAGCAGTATTTTTAAAATAAAAGTGCACAATACACTACTTTTGAATTCATTATTGAATGCTGTTCATATCAATGCAGCTAATTGTGATTAATCCCCAAAAAATCATGCAGTTAACGCAATTAGGGATTTTAGTTGTTGCCCAGCACTAGTACGTTTATCATAATGACTAAATATATGCTCTATTTGTGAATTACCTCTTTATTGTGAAGGAGGACTAAAGGCTGTGATGTTGGGATCTATAACTCCTCAATGGTCTCCCAAGGCAAATTAGTTGCAGGCATAGGGCCAAACAAAGTGCTTTTGTAAGTTACTCAGAGTAACCAGGTATTTAGAGATTGCACTTACTTACTCCCTGTACACACACTATAGTAACCCAGTTACTGTAAAGCCCCATATACAGTACAGCAGCATTTCATTAAACAGATTTCTCTCCTATTCCCACAACTTATTTTGGATGTATGGCTCATAGATGTAAAATCTACCTTGACAAGGCAGTTTTCTGCTGTTTTTAACCCCCTACCCCAATTATAGTTTCCAGGTTTATCATTTACATGACAGTTAAGAAATCAGCTTAATGAAGAAAGGTGATGTAACCTGGTTACAGTGCATACAGAGCAAAGCAAGAAGAGGAAATCTGCAGGTCTGGGATGGGGAAGGTTTAGAGTATCAGGCCCTCTTGAACTCTGTAGACGAGGTCCTGGAGAGGACACCACCAAGAGCTTCAAGAGTTCTGCAACTATCTGAGCCAGTGTGGTGTTTTGTTACTGAAGCCTGTCATGGACTGTCTTTAACCAGCACCATGTTTGATCAAACACAGCCCCTGAGTTTTGTTCCAACTCTAAACAAAAAGTTGTTTAGAGTTCCTCACCAAAATATGGTTGCACTCTCTTAAATACAGTTTTGCTTCCTTCAGCACTGGTCCTCTGTAAAGCTACTAATGTCTTCCCATCCTCTGTTCCATAAATAACATTACCCTTATCTTCCCTTATCTGCCTCTCACTTTTCTTCATAACATACAGCTCCTGTGATTTACAGCTAAATCACTGATGTATCAGTGGACCTGAAGCAAGTAGTAAAATGTAAAAATAAGTTAAAATTGTAAGAATCACATCTGATGTTTTCACGTTATATTTGTTAAAAGTAAGTGTTGGGAAAGACAGACAAGCCTTATGCTCTCAACAGAACTAACATCTGTGGGAAACATTACATGAGCTATAACAACTGCTCTTTTACTAAAGAAAATGTGTGTGCGTGTGTTTGTACAATGCTTCTGTGGATCACCTGCAGGGTCTTGTCAAACCAGCGATTGCCACTGTTCCACTGGGCGCCTCCTCCGTGCAACATCTGGATGGCAGCACAGCTGCGGTGCGTCTCTTCAGACACTTGAGGCATTGCTCCATCCAGACACACAGTGAAGATGCTTCTCTGGATAGCTGTCACAGATTCTTTGTTGGTCTTATCTGGACACATTAAGTACACACACACACTAAGCAAGCTTACTGTTATTATGTAATCAGAGTGTAACAGTTTTTGGGATGCACAAGTTATTATAATTCATTTCAATTTTATTTTGAAATGACACTTGTCATTTAAATTCTACAAATGCAGTTATACCGAGTTCACACCTTCCTTTCATTAAAACTTTGGCTTTTGCTGGAGTTTAAAACACCACTTTCTCTTCATAGAAACCACTGTACAGTATTTATAAATTTCAACTATTTTAACAAAGGCTGAAACAAATTTGAATCTTGTGAAAAGCCTGCCTGTTTTTCCTGCTTCCAGCACTTCAACTTCGAGGACTGAACGTTCACTTGCTGCCTAAAATACTCCAAATACTGATAGGTTCTATTGTAATAAGATAATAAATGTTATTCACTTCACCTGTCTGTGGTCGTAATGTTATGGTTGATGGGTGCATATGCACATTCATGGAAGTTTTTTAATGTATTTAATCATGGATATGTTCTAGTTACTTCTTCCTATGGATTGTAGGAAGAATAGTGGTTACTTTGCAACAGCTAATGGGAGCCAAACAATAGCAGATCTGCCACCTCAAAGTCATTCTTCCTAGCACTCTGTACACGCTGCTGTTCAGTAGTTTGATAAGGCTCCAGCATCCTTTAGCTCAATGCCAGTTGTCTTAGCTCACCCTTGATGAGGTTGATGTAGGCCTTGCCCCAGGAATCGCGACGCAGGGTGGTGAGGATGCCAACAGGCTCTGTGGTGGTCTGTAGTGAAGCGTTGCAGATCCTGTCCAGCTGAACACAAAGCTGATCAACTGTCAGTGGAGTCCCATCGCTGTTGTACACATCCAGCACAAAGAACTGATTCCAATTGGAGAAAAGACAAAAAAAGGCTCAATTAAACTTTATAATCAACAACTCTCAGTTTATCAGAGGAAAGAACAGCTGTAGCTATTTAAAGCTGAACCAACAAGTCAAGAAAGAACAGCTATTTAAAGCTGAACCAACAAGTCAGACAAAACTAAATACTACAGTATTATTTATGGCCAACGATAGGTTTCTCAGAGAGAAACACCGAGTTCAGAAGCTCAGTATTTGTTGAATAATGACCCAAGAGTGTCTACAGAAACAAGTATCAAAAAACATGTTTATATTCCTCAAAGTGAGGCACTGCACAAAGTACATCAGTTTGGTTGTTTTGGTCCTAACACCATGCTTGTGCATTAAGGACATTTTCAGAATTATACATCAGACGTGCTTAAAATACCACTGAGCTGTTAAAAATCCAGCTTGTGCAGATTTAGTGTTTTCAGTATCAAACAGCTACAGCAGGAAATGACCTTAAGGTTATGTCAGGAAAACTTTTTAAAGTGGTCTCCTGGACTCCAAGACCTTAAGAAACCCAAAACAGACCTAATAAATTGTGAAAATAATCTTCAAAAACCTGAGGCCTGTATCATAAAGTGAGATTAGTGGGTTATCCAGCTGTCTCTGCACTTAACTCAGGTTTTTCTGATATCATGAAAGTATCACTTTTAATCAGATTGGATCACGACTACGACTTAACATGCTCCATAACAAGTTAGTAAACGATGCATCCACTCTGGGGTGTGATGGGTCTTGTGTTTTACCTCTGCTTCTTATTTTAATGTCTTTGTTCATCATCTGTGATGTAAAAACAGATGTTCACACACTTAGTGAAAGTAAAAGCGTGCATCCTGCTCATAGCTCAGTTATGATGTCCTAGATTACTGTTCCTGTTGAGCTGCTCTGGAACTGAATTCACTGAAAGTCAGCCTTGCAGTGGTTCTTCCATCACAGTTAGTTGTAAAATTTACATCCTGCCAAATCAACTGGGGTCAAATCAACTTGTCCACTGAGTCTTTTACTTTTAAAATAAGCACATTTTAATAGAACAGTGTAATATCTTTGCTAATCACAATAGCAGAAACAATTATATTTATTGGAGCCGTCCCTGGTAGGCTAGTGGTTAAGGCGCAGCCGGGTTCAAATCAGGGTTGCGTCAGGAAGGGCATCCGGTGTAAAACACGTGCCAAAGGTCAACATGCGAGTCGTCAGTGTGACGACCCCTAAACGGGAAAAGCCAAAAGTGACTTTCTATGTGTCCACTATGGGATTACACTAACAGCCTAATGAATGGTCCCAGTCCTCACTACACTACTCAGACTAGACTAATGAACATGTAGAGAATACCAACCATAGCCTGAACAACTCAGAGTACACTGTGCTTGTTGAAAACCAGTTCCATAATTCCTGGATCACAAATGTCAGACACAGTGAAGCCAGGTAACCCAAAGAGAGCCAGACCAAGTTGACCTTGCTGTGTGATACAGGCCCCTGGTCTCCAACTCAGCTCAGACACAGACATGTGATTTGGACCAGTGCTCCTCACCTGAAAGTTGTGTACTACAATGATGTGCTTTGGGGGCTGCGAGCTCTTGGCGTGGTTCACCACTGAGTCTCTCTTCAGGCCAGGGATACGGCAGGATGACAGCACCTCGTAATACTGGTTCATACATAGGGGCTTTCCTCCCAGGTACTCCACTGGAAGTGACTCACTGCGAAGTATAACACATACTAATCTGGATGCACAATACTTGATGCCCAGACAGTATTCCTGAATAAAAATCTATTAGTTAAAGAGAATTCTATAAGCATCATAGGCATAAAAATTGTGTTAAAAGGGCTTTATAGATGTTTTTCATTATGTTACATACAACTCACGACTCTTCAGAGAAACATATTTAATATTTCTGACCTAAGCAAATTTAAGAAGCATGACAATCGTTTCAACCAGCAGAAGAAAGCTTATGACAATTCAAACTGAAATGCATATTATTCAGCTGGGTCCTTAAGTATTGACTGTAGAGTAGATGAACATAAATACTCTCAGAAAGACACAACTGATACTTTTTTATGGTATGATGCATTTTTATATCACTACATTTCAAAATATATTACTTTACTCCTAGAATACAGACACTACAAAAAGTTGTGTGATGATTAAGCTCACATGCCTGGTAGAAGGATATCATTTTGAGCTCAGTACTCACTTGTCAATCATTGTCTTAAAGTCCAAAACACCAGCTATCAGTTTGGCAGCAAACCTAAAGACAGAGCATGAAATGTTAACTTGTATAAGTGATCATAGCACATAATGCATATGTGGTGGTAACTATGGCAAAAAGTGATGATGAGACATCCTCTGGAGCTGTTAAAACTTATCAGAAGTTTGGCCATTCCTGGGTAAATATGTTCCTGATTCTTGGGGCAAAAATAAGTAAATAAAAATAAAAACCTTGCAGCTAGCATTCTTCAGATATTCCAGGCTGTTTTACACACACACACACACACACACACACACACACACACACACACAGCATGTACGAGCAAGATGTACCCACAGATTTGCAATGATGTTCAAGTCAGGAGACAGTGAGAGCTGTTCAGAAGCTTCAGCTGGTGTTTCTTGAAGTAGTTCGTAGTGGATCTGGACATCTGCTTTGAATCACTGTCCTGCTGTAGAAGCCTTTCTGGACTGACTGCAGGACATTTACATCTAGAATTTGGTGATATTTAGCGGACTCCTTTCTTTCATCTGTGGCTCCTGTGCCACTGGCTGCCACATTCCCAAAACAGAATATTTTCACCCTTATGCTTAACAGTTGACAAAGGGGAGGCAGGGTTAATAAGTACAGATTTTTGCACATGCCACAATTACTGTACTATAGTGACATTAAAGTGCATTAATTACCATTTGAAGAAAGGCTGCCAGTCTATTTGCTGAAGGGGTAGGTTTTAATATTTTTTCCCCACTTTTTTAAGTTTGAAGATCAACCCAGGGGTACCCAAACCTTTGTATACAACTTCCAGTGAAATGTGTACATCCAAATATGAGCAAGACACTATCTGATATAGTGTGTTCAAATAGCTTCAGTCTGTCAATAAACACCAACTTTGTCTTCTAAAAAAGGTTAATCGAAGTTGTCAATGGGTAAAATATGTTTTAAAGCTGAAACTCATGACATCTTTTGGTTGTCTTAATTGCTCTGTGCCTGATCACCTTATTTGTCCCTGCTTATCCCTGAAGTTCATGCGAGGCAAGACCAACCCAGGATTTGAATGGACCACCACAGGCGACCGGTAGTCAAGATAAGCAACCTGCACCCACCACTCTGACAACTGTAAAAACACAGAGACATATTTATGGGCAGAAAATTGAAGTTCATTAAAAGGAAATTAAAAGTAGTAGTGTCTGCTTCATTTGAGTAGGAAATAAAAGCAAACTGGTGTGTCAGGAAAGCACTGTCTTACAGTCCAGACTAAATATTTGTACAGTTACACATTTTTTGTTCTTCAGAATCTGTGCTTCAGCTGATGAGAGAGGAAACCCATGCAGGCACAGGAAGAGCATGCACGATCCACAGCCAGAACCTTCATGCTAACCGTTGTTCCACCATGCCGCCCCTGATCGCACATGGTTTTCCATAAAATACTGAATATGGTTTGACTTCATGTGTATCTGTCCATTTCCTTTGGCACCCCTAAACCTCTGGCACTGTGTGTTAAGAGCTAGATCTCCCACACAGTTCCTTCTATACTGATGTAAACATCCTCAAAGCTGAGATTTCCATTGCCATTTCCATTATTTCCCATTAAATGTTCTCAAGCACAGAGACTGAATAACAAAAAATGTGTACATATTGTCAGGACTACATACTGTATTCCTACATCACAATACTTTTTTTTTTATCCAAAGTGCTCACCCAGTTCTCAGTATTGCTCGCTCTCTTTTCCAGGCCTCTCTGCAGTCTCTCTCCAATGCCTCCTGGTTTCTGAAATTCCTCCACCAGCTCTTTAGTGTGCTGCAGCTCATCCACCTCCACAATGGGCTCCAGAGCAGTAATGTACCGATCACAGGTCTGCTGCAGTGGTGGTACAGGCAGGTGGGGCAGGCTATTCTGGTGAGTGAGGTATCTGCCAGTGACCCGAGTAGGTGATACAGGTTTTACCAGGTGACAGGGTTTCACTAAGCCAGAGGGTTTTGCCAACCCCAGCTTTACCTGAGAGACAAAGGGGTTTAAATTAATAAAGAAACACGTCACCCAGTGCAGCGGTGTGTTTACCTGATGTGTTTTTAATTGCTCTTGAACAACACAGAGGTCTACGGCACAGACGAACAAGCTAATCCAGGACTGACACCGCTGACAAACATTAACTAGAGGGAATTCATTGTTGGTTTTACTCTCTGTATGGGGAGTATTAAAAATACTGTTAATATAGAAAATGACTGACCTTATTGTTTGCTAGACTTTTGTTTTAAAAATTCTATACAAAACATTTTTGTTTTTAAATGTGCTAAATAAACAAACTTTTTGTACGCTTCTTGTACATTTCACAAAACAACAAAACTAAAAATACAATATTTAAAAAAACAACAAAAGAGAAAATATGGTATTTTACATTTTAGAAAATGTAGGCAAACTTTTTCTTTTTGGCCTGTGTTTGGTGAAATGTTGTTGTGTTTTCATTAATGTGTTTAAAGAGTCTCAGTAAGATGTTGGGCTACGACCTGCCACCAGAACATCTTGAATCCTCATTGGCATTGATTCTCCAAGTCTCCAAACTCTACTGGAGGAATGGACCCCATTCTTCCAACAGATGTTCCCTCGTGTGATGTTTGGATGATGGTGGTGGAGACGCTAACATAGTGCACCAAAATCTCCTAAAGGTGTTCAACTGGGTTGAGATCTGGTGACTTTGAAGGCCACATCATATGAGTCACATCTTCATCATACTCATCAGACCACTCAGTGACCACTCCTGCCCTGTGGATAGGGGCACTGTCATCCTGGAAGAGACCACTCCCATCCAGATAGCAGTGTTTCATTGTAGGATAAAGGTGATCACTCAGAACAACTGTGAATGGATTTCCAGTGACCTTTCCCTCGAAGGGGACAAGTGGACCCAATATGACATCATCTCCATTTGTCACGTTTCTCCACTCATTTATTCAGGTTTTTCCTTAAATTTGTCTCTCGTCTATATGTCCCTTTTAAAAGCTCCGGTAGAGGGCAGTCTGTGCTCACTTTCCTCTTGAAAACAGTGAGGAAACATAACCAGGCCACTACCAAAAATTAGTTTGTTCCTATGTCACGTCGATTTATAATAAATTGTGACAGCTGTTACAGCCTTGGCGGGTTCCTGGATTGTCGTTTACGTTATGTCAAATGATATCCCTTCTTTAAACATTTTTATTCCAAGCAGATGTGTTTGCCGAATAGAAAATCCAATCTGATGACCAGTAACATTACCGTACTTTTACGATATGTTATCTTCTCTCAAGGCACAACACTTTCAGGGACAACGCTAGAGCAAATAAAGGTGAATAACATTGTCTATGTCAAGCTAGTCCTCGGTATCTTTTAGCCTTTCATAACCTTGGCTAGCCACAAATAACCTTTGACCCAGTTACTCTGGCTCTAAACTAACGTTGCTTCAGTCCATTAAAGTTACGAGCTAGCTAACTTTGCTAACTGCTAGTTAGCAAACATTGCTAATCAAAATCACCACTAGGGCCGTCTCATGTCGGTGACAGTAGTTATCAAGTCAGTGTGTAATTAACTGTTACTGTCAGCTAAAGCTGGCTTTTGGACAGAGTATATTCGTATAGTCAGCTGACGACCCGTTACTCACCATAGCTCTGCTGCAAATGCCCCACATTCTGCAATCAGAAAAACTCCCCCAAATCAGGTCCGAAGCTCAGTCCAATATAAACGTTTGGCTTTTAGCTAGATGTACTAGCTGTCTCACTACAGACAGTCTAGAAGCAGACAACTTCACACCGGCTATACAATGCAATGGCTGTATAAGGCTAGTAAGCTGTTTACACCGGTGTCCGGATGTCATGGGGATAGAGTGGGTGCGACCAGAGAGTGATGTGTACATGCACGGTCTACACTTCAATAAATGGATACTGAGCTAAACAGCGTCATGCATAATATATTGCACATATTTATCATAATACATTACAGTGACAGAGAGACTAAACAGGATTACACAAGGCGTACTTTTATGTGATACTTTAAGTGCATTTTGGTAATAACGCTTTTGTGCGTAAGTAAGGAAGTGAATCTCGAATGCCTGACTTTTATTTATTTATTCATGTATTGTGTCACTAGGAAAGAAAGTGGTAGAAAAGGAAAAGGTTTATTTTATTAAGCTACAAACTAAAGAAGTGATGTAGTTTATTTTGCGAACAACAGGCGGCAGTAGTGAACCACCGCAGCTTTAAATCTGCCTGAAACCCATGAAGAGGACTGACAGCCTTCGCCATGGCGGAAACAGATCAACCGTCAGGTAAAGCGCGGCTGAAGGCTTCAGCTCAGTATTCATAAGTTCTGTATCATTTTTGCTGTTATGCTGAAACATAGTATCTTTTGCAAGTAGCTTACACCACAGTACTGCATGGGTCATAGAGCAAATTATCTTTATTTGATAGATAAGCCCGGAAGGCTTCTTTTTCCAGGCAAAGCTATCATACGATATGTTTTACTGTCCGGGAGGATTAGCTAGCACATAACTTAGAGTGAATTTACAGGAGCCAGTTTCCAGTGGTGCACCACTGCATTTCAGTCATTTATTAAGAACATAACAGAACAGACTCTATATAAATGTCTTGGGGGGGGTTCAATTAATCAATTCTTACACTTTACAAACGCAAATTAGCCTTACACAAACACTGACATGATTAACGAATTTAAGCAGAAGCAGATTCTTCTCAAATTAGTTAAATTGAAAACGCCTGACAGGTGTTTTAGCAGGTGCATATAAATAGGTCTTTCAGTGTGACGTCTGTCTGATGGTGCCTGACGAAGATCTTGTATAGATGGAAACGTTACTGCTGTTGAATTCAATTATTGGGAGCTTAATACAGTGTGTGAATTTTGTTTGGTTTTTCCCTTCAAGCTGTTGGTTCAGCACCTGTACATTTTTATGTGCATGTTCTCTGTTCTTTAACATATTTAAATAGTCATATTTATCAACATAATTCTTTGTGTTCTAATTAAATGGCTACTCCAGCAATTTAATTGTCTGATAAAAATGTAAAGAGACATAACCTCATAAATAATACACCCCATGTTTCCCCATACTACTACTACTCACTCTTCTTTCTGTTAGACCTTCCCTGCCTTGTACTTATTTGGAAAGCCTACATTTAGCTACCACAAAATTATGAGTTGTTTTTTGTTTTGTTTTGTTTTTTTATAAAAATCCATATTTTAGGATCCACCCCTGAGGATGAAGCACCTGAAGTCACAGCCAGTGTCACCTTCATGGTGCCCAAGAAAGAAATCAGCATGGTGCCTGACATGGGCAAGTGGAAACGCTCTCAGGTAGGTTCCTGCTTGTGGTTGTATGGCCATATTTCATCATCCTGAAGATTTTTGCCTGACTTGCCATGTTCTGTACAAAAAGCACCTAACTACATAAAGAAGAGGGTCAGAAATGGCATGTAAGCCTCACTCACTTAATCTACTGGTGTCTTATGCACCTCTCTTTTTTTGCAGGCATATGCTGACTACATGGGCTTCATTCTGACACTGAATGAAGGTGTGAAGGGAAAGAAGCTTACATGTGAATATAAAGTGTCAGAGGTATGTCATCCTTAACATAAGACTGTTTACTCAGGGGCATAATGTAAAAGGCTGTCAACTTGTAGTGACCTGGAAAGTTGGTTAGAAAGCTTCTCATTTGTGTTCTCTGTTGCACACTAATGCCTCTTAGACCCATGCCCTTGTTTTTAGGATTCACTTTCCAGAAGTAGTACCATGGTTAAGATGTGAAACTAGCATTTTCTAGCTACCAGAGCTTTCAAATACACTAAGTTTTCATGTCTTGCCACTGCTCAGTCACTGGATAACATTAGTGAGCCTTAGGTTACTATAATGGTCTGTCAGAGTTAAAAGTGAGCCAGCTCTGTAGTACTGGAAAAATTGAGTTAAGCTGGCCACACCATTTATTAATATTTTATTTTAGCCTGTTGTATTTCGCATAAATGTGGCTACTGCAACTCACACAAAACAACAAAAGCTATTGTTCAAGTGGTAGATAAAGAACCTCAACAAAAGCTCTGCAAGCCCCCTTCAGGTTTCCAAATACACAAGATTTTTACATAAATAATTTCAAACACATCTCTTCTTTCATGTAGAGTCAGACCCTAAGTAAATACAAGAAGTACCTGCCATGAACGGCCATGATGGTTAAATGGACAGGAATCTACATCCCACGGCTACTTGCTGCTTCACCTAACCGCCCTGCCATACTCATCCACACACACTGGTTTGTTTACATGTGTGAGGTCGGCTTTCACTGAACTTATAGTGACTTCAAAGAAAACGGTTCTATGTTGAATAACAACAAAACATGACAAATTTAGCCAAGTGTTAATATTATTCAAGCCACTAATTAAACATTTATATTAAAGGGCTACTCCAGCTATTGATAATGTGCCTTCATGGAGTTGGTCAATGAGAGAGAGATTTAAGCAAGACTGGTCAAAGTGGAAGCTATAGTGGCTGAGACATGCTGAATTTCTTTACCCTTGTCAAGCTCTAAAGGTACTGGATCCTACATTTCCTATAATGCAAAGACCTTCCTGCCTGGTAATCACCCTCAACTTTTCGGGTCCAGTTTGTAACAGGCTTTCTGTGATAATGGCAATAAAGAGAGTGCAAAATTTTAAGTTCACTGCCACAGAATTGCAGGACACTTGCTTCTGTGTCTGAACTGTAGTAGGATTTCTAAGGAGACAATTTCCTGTTACCTCCGAGCACTTATTTTTATTCCTCTGTGCCAGAAATAGCTGTGGCTGGAGGCATATATTAGGGTTGTCCATCCACCTGTCTGTCCAATTTTATTTAACCTCATACAGTGCCTTGCGAAAGTATTCGGCCCCCTTGAACTTTGCGACCTTTTGCCACATTTCAAGCTTCAAACATAAAGATATAAAACTGTAATTTTTTGTGAAGAATCAACAACAAGTGGGACACAATCATGAAGTGGAACGAAATTTATTGGATATGTCAAACTTTTTTAACAAATAAAAAACTGAAAAATTGGGCGTGCAAAATTATTCAGCCCCTTTACTTTCAGTGCAGCAAACTCTCTCCAGAAGTTCAGTGAGGATCTCTGAATGATCCAATGTTGACCTAAATGACTAATGATGAATGCCTTAAGGGAGCTTTCTTCAAATTTTGCCACAAATGTCCACTTGGACTCAAGAATGAACTGATTAGATTTTGGTGGTCAAAGGTCAAGGTTGGTGACCTCACATCTGTCCCATTCCTGTGAATAGGACTAGTTTGCAGAGGGCATACAATCATGAAGCGCTAATTCTATGTCTGCATCGCTGATTACACAGTGCATTTGCTGTCTTTAACCTGTATTTGTGTTTATGCTATCAGATGGCATCACTGTGTAAAATAGTGTTTTGATCTACGTCTCAGTACAGCAGCACAGGAGATGCGTTCTCCTTTAAACAGCATTTATGTTTCATAAAACAATCACTTTTTCTACAGTACTTGGTCTTTGTCTGAGAACAAACTCTTCTGCTATATTGAACAAAAAATAAGTGATCACAGAGTCTGTCTGATTATACCAGCGATGTCTGTACCAGGTGCATTGATTTATTGGCTCTTTCTATTTATGGTCATTAAAACTATCATGAGGATGTTTATTAGCATAAGAGTCAGTTACAGTTTTGTTACGGTTGTCATATATGATAGACAGTGGAGAAGTTACTAGACCTTCTGGGGACTCTGGACCAATGGATAAATGAGACCCCTCCTGTTAACCAGCCATCACGCTTTGGTAATAAGGCCTACAGAACCTGGTATGCTAAACTAGACCAGGTTAGTACACACACACTTTCTCATACACATTCATGCATATGGCCACATGCTCAAGTGAAGCCTTGCAGCTTACAGGTGGTGTGTGTCTGTGTAGGAAGCGGAGTCCTTGGTGTCAGCAGTGCTCCCTGCTGACAAATGCGCTGCAGCTCCAGAGATAGCGGTCTATCTGAAAGAGTCTGTGGGGAACCCCACCAGGATAGACTATGGAACAGGTAACATTGCTTTGTATTCATGTTTGTTTCAGTTCAGTACAGGAGTTCTATACAAAACACCTTAGCAGAACTTATGAGACAAAAAATTTGGCAGTTCATGAGATAGGAAGGGGAAACAAAAGTTTCTTGCTTGGCTCAAGTTCTGAGATTTTGTGCCTCTACTAGGGGAAGGAGTTCGATAGCATTTTCTCAAATGTGAATCTGCTTATTGAATCTAAATCCTGTTGAGTCTCTTATGAAAACTACTTAGGTAGCTAATTTGGTGGGGTATTAAGATATCAGTTAAATCTGGTATGTTCAAAAAAGTTTAATAAACTGTTCATTTAGTAACAAAACCAGTTTTTTTGTGTAATAACTGATGTAACTTGGTCATTTTAATTGTGATTTAGGGGTAATGACCAGACAGCTGGATCCTACCCCTGATAGAATCCACATTAATTAACTATCGAACCTAAATCCTGGTCATTCTGCTGTGCTGAAAGCCTTGTAGGATTTTAACCACATATTAGATAACAGCTCTGTGCCATTATTAACCCTGCCCTGAGCTAAAGTGAAAGTAGCAGTTTTTTAATCATTCTGTGAATATCAGTTAAAGAGCCCATGGCATGCTTTTCAGTTTTTTGACTTATCTACAATGTTACAACGATGACTTATCTTTAAAGTGACCGAAAGCTCAAAAAGGTGTACCTATGTTGTACTTCTGTGCAGAAGCAACTCAGTTTATGCAAACTTGCTGGTGAGGCTTTTTTCCCCCAACTTTGTAAAGTCTTGCACAATAGTTTAAGGAATTCCTTGAATGATCATAATCTTCAGGCAGTGAGCAATTCATGTGAGCTTGCCTGACATCCACTGGTGCCATATTAAAAGCGGGATTTTTCAACTACATGTGTGTTTTGTGGATGCATTTTTACCTCCTGCTGCTGCACTGTGACCAGAGGATGTGGTGAAAATTGAAAGGTCTGAGCTTACTGCATATCCGGGAATGTTCCTGACCGGGTGTTAATGTGGCGTGAATGGAGTGGCTGGAAATCTACGATCAGCCGGCCGGTGAATGATCAACTCATCGATGCTGGATTCCCCTGTAGCACAGTAGCTGTTTGTTTTGACTGTTTGAGGCCAGTGTGTCTGCCACAAGTGATGTGTTGCCAAAGAATTTGTGATTGCAACAATTTTCCTAGAGAAGTGGTGCATTATCTGACAGAAATGCAGGGGTGCCAGTATTTTTGGCCATGACTCCATATGTTAGACAAGTGCAATGCCACACTGCAATTGCTTTATTTTTGTGCAAAGTAGCTTGACCCAGATCATTACAAAATCAGCAGCCATTTATTCCTATAACAAGACTCGCAGCTTAATTATTGTTTTTAGTTGATGTGTTAACAGAAAGCAAGGTTGTAATGCTGTTTAAAAAAAAAATTAAAAATCATTCAGTTCGAATCAACATTTTTATCTACACGCAGGTTATGTTGATGTTTTTGTGTGTTTGTTTTTCAGGTCATGAAGCTGCTTTTGCTGCATTCCTCTGCTGTCTCTGTAAGGTTGGAGCTCTCAGAGTAGATGATCAGCTGGCTATTGCTTTTAAAGTTTTTGACAGGTGAGCTGTTGCCGCTGTGGGTTTCAACATGTTAAGTGGAACCAAATAATGTCATTGATCTCTTTTTGGTTGCAATATTGGTTGATTGCTCCAAACTGAAATATCCCAACAACTGGTGGATGGATTGCCATGCAATTTTGTGCAGACATTGTTGGTCTCAGAATATGAATCCTAATAATTTTGGTGATTCTCTGACTTTTCATACAAAGTCATTATCAGATGAAAATCCCAGTTTGTCCAGTACTTTTTTGGTTTATCTGTTTTAAGGGTTTGTATTTTCTTTACAGTCAGCATTACAGGCTCACAGAGCCACTAGTGTAGTTATAGATACTTGGGCTGTGTTGGAAATTATTTCTCTTCATTATAAGTAATTTATTTCCCCTCTGCTATGTGTCTTGAGTTTGAAGTGTGAAATTTATTAAATATACAGTGTTGTCAAAAAATTTCAACAATGGAACTGAGGAATGTAGTGTCTGTGGCATGTATGACTTTCTGCACTGCATCTCACACAATGCAGTGTTGCATTATTATATTTCCACAGTACGATACTGCATCTATCATTGGTGACACAAAATTGTCATAAGCATCTGAAAATCATTTTGCTGCTCACTATAGAGCAAGCTACTGAGTGTCTGTATATAGGGAATAGTGCCTGAGTAAACACAGGAGCCATTTTGAACACGGGTAATGTCTTGTTCACACAGTATATGCAGTAGGATCTAATGGAGCATTGTTACAAACATTTATATTTTTTACCCTGGGTCAGCTGTGGCCATTGTGACCATGGATCATGCTTCGTTTCTAAGTGTGTTGTTTGGGGCACATTATTTCCTAAAAAATGACTATTGCTTGTCTTTGAAGCCATCTGAAAGTAAACGCAGAAAATAGCCCCCTCCTTTCCCTAATTAGTTTTTTTTTTCTTCAATGTATACCAGACTGCAAAGAGTTGAATACACCCTCATACACACAAACCAAATGTAAAACCCCCGACCATATGCCTCCTTTGTAAATATGTCTTGTCTTCTCTGTTATGTCCTCTGTCCTGTAAATGTGCTAGTTTGTGTTGCATAAAAAAAGAGAAACACAGTATGAAATGTTTTTATTTTTTCCCCAAACGCCCCTGGGTGAGCTATTGTAGCGAGCTGAACTGATATTATGATAGTAATGTTGCGTATTGGGTTGTTTTGGGCAGAATTGCTTTACGCCGTTTTGCATGAATGTATGGCAGGACCTGATTTGTCAGGTATTTAATTTGACATTAACTAAAAACTGACATTCACATTTGATTAAGTTGAAACTTTTTCTCAGTTGCATTATATTGTACTATATAATGATAAACTGCACATAACATTATTGCAGGTTGTCACTTTATCCACACCACCTCCAGCACAATACCTGTAATCTGACCCTCTTGTCACATCCTCCTCTGTGTGTGTGTGTTTTCAGGTATCTCTTATTAATGAGGAAGCTACAGAGGACCTACAGAATGGAACCAGCTGGAAGCCAAGGGGTGTGGGGACTGGATGATTTCCAGTTTCTGCCCTTCATATGGGGCAGCGCCCAGTTTATAGGTAAGAGCCTCACTACATCAGGTCAATAAAAATAGAAAAACCCTGTCAGAGCTGTCTGTGTATCCCTCAGACAGCGCAGAGTAATGGATGCTGGAACATGTAGGCATATGATGTTGGTGTTACTTTCAGAATGGGGAACAAAAGTGTAATTTAACTTCAGAACTTGACAGAGTGCAACTGATTGCCAGAGTCCCCGTTTTAATTGTAACATCCTAAGTTCACTTTCGTAACAAGTTGTAACAAGTGGCACAGTAGCTGGTGGGAATGGATCACACACTTTAATAACTATCACTTGCTTTACCCAGCTGTAGTTTAACATTAAATCTGTGAGTGCAAAAAACAAAAAGTCATCTTCTTTGTTGCCCAGTGAATAGGCCCTGCTGCTTGATACTGTCTGTACATTTATGCTTGGCCAAAGGTGGTTTTGTCAACTAAGAACCACCAACTTATCATTTTGATGGAATAGAAGAATGGACCTTGAGACCTGCAGCAGTAAAACTGATTTGGCAGAGTTTGGATCATACTCAATTGGGTCTCAGTTACTCAAAACCAAGTGAATTGGTGAATGCCTCTTGTTTACACTACAAATACAGAGTTGTAGTTTTTGTAAATAATTGCAATTTCAAAGGCAGTCAGTTTTTATTTAAATAAAAGAAAAATCACAATTTGATATTTTCTAAAAATCATTCAATGGCTTCTTCTCTTCAAATGTCCCAGTAAGTCATGACAGTGAGCCTGTAAGCACAATACAAGAACCCTGAAAGTGAAGCAGCTAAATGCAATTCAGCCATCATACTTTACTATGTACACTTGTGCTTTTTTTTAAATCACATGTCAAAATGTGAAAGTGTGAAAAACGTCTATAAAATGTGTCTGAGGGTTTTTGATATGTAGAAACATACTAATAATAATGAGACAAAATTAAGGCATATAATTTATCACAAGATGGTGTCAACTTCAGAAACAGGAAAAAGAAAACCAATGTCATACATTTAAGTGTGATTTGGGGCATTCTACAACGGTAACAAATTTGGGTACATGGAATAATCAAAACCAGATTTGTAATGGCTATACAGTATATTCAGTTTGCTCTCTCTTTCTGTGAAAGCAGCAGCAATGAATAAGAACTAAAACGACAACAAAATGTCCCTGTTGTAGTTCTGTTCATCCCATGCAGTGGTTAATGTTCACATTTAAGACCATGTTACACTGATAAATGTTTAGTCTGTGCATCTCTGCAGTGCTAGGAGCTGAGTTTGAACTGTAGGTCTGACCTCATTTAATGGGAGGTGAATGGTGACACCTAGTGGTCAACATGTGCACTTACACCTGAATCTTCTCCAGATCACCCCACAATTGAGCCTCGCCACCTCCTAGAGGAGAGAGTGGTGAACGAACATCACCCAGACTACATGTTTCTGGACTGCATCAAGTTCATAAATGAGGTGAGAAAATGAAACGCCTAACAAAAAACAAAATACCTGGCTTTGTTTTCCTTAGGCAAATGAGAGTTGATACATTATTTTTTATGAGGCACTTGTGGTTTCTGTCTGTATTGTCATACCTGATTGTTACTATTTGTTATAGTAGCCAAAGGCACAGCAAGCAGTCAAAATACCAGGACCACAGTTTAATGCATTTCAGTACAAAAGTAATGCAGTACATCCTTGAACCACAGGATAAGCATCTGTTTTTGGTAGCATGGTACCACACTCTACAATACCTTCAAACAACTCTAATTAGTATTTGTATATTTATTGGAAGGTACCAATTCACTTTATCTTTCCTCACTCCACTTTCATCTAAGATGGTATCTTCCAGCTTCTGACTGGCTGAACACACCTGAGCCAGATAATCAGCAGCAGGTCAGGCAGGGATAGTTGGAAAACAAGCAGGACAGTGGCCCTCGAGGACTGAAATTGGCCACCCCTGAACTAGAGAGACAGACATTTCCCTCAGGAGTTGGTGAAGAGCAAAACAGAATTGTTAGAATGATTACTGGACTTGTATTCATTAGGTGGACTTGAACACAAATACAACTCCAAATGAATGCTGCTGTGTCAGCTGGATTTGTTATCATGCAGCTTTTTGCAATAGCATCTGTATGCAATAAGATGACAACATGCCACCGTTTGCTTTAAACCTTGTTGTACACCCCCCTAGTGGCCAAAGATTATTGCAGAAGAATTCAGACACCCTCTCTTTTGTCTGTTGTATATTGATATTTTTTGTTTTTGTGGGCAAGTTCACCCTAATTACAAAAATAGCTTCTCACTTAGGTTTATTGATATTTTTGGATTAAGATGTTTTGAGATCAGCCTCTGAGATTTCTTCCTCCGTCTCAGTCCAGTGGAGGATTTGAGTTTGTTTGTAGTGCTCACTGCCTTGAAAACCAAACCAACTGCAGCTAAGCAACTTTTGATCCCTTAGCTTTTGGACACTTAGCACTTTGTAGTAGTGTTCATATTTTTAATTTAAAATTGAATGTACTGAAGCATAAAGTCTGGAAAACAACTGTCCTAACCCAAAATAATTCACAAAACACACATTTGACAGTTTTTTTTTGTTTGTTTGTTTTTGTTTTTTTGAGACTACAATTTCAGTAGAAAGTAGTTCCACTAAAACCTCTTGTCAGATACTACAGTATGATTTTTGTAATATTTTGGTAAACCATTCCCTTTAAAACTTTAACTGTTTTGGATACTCACCTTAGTTTCAGATCATTGTCAGAGGAAAAAAAAAACAAAACAAAGGAAGCCAGAGGACCTTTTGAGGTAGACCCAAGAAACCTACATATCAGAAAGTGAAGTTTTTAGCTACAAGTTAAAAAAGTCTAAATTCACAGTAAAGGGGTTAGTTTTGTCAGGAAACATGGCATCATTCATCACTGGGTGACTTCCAAATGTGGTCTGCTGCCCCCTAATGAAGATTGCCCTCGCTGAAATATTTAAAGTTTGTATTTTTCTTGCTGTACCCTTATGTTTACTTTTTAAATTGGTCACTTGAGAGATTTAAGATTTTTATTTGCCAGTCTAGGCATATAGGAATTCTTGTGCAGGGCTCTCCTGGAGTCAGGTAAGGAGTTTAAAGCCAAAAGAACAAACGCCTAGTCTAAGTATAAGATCACCCACGAGTACAAAAAAACAAGAATAGCCAAGAATACAAAATGGCTGATAAAAGTGTGGATACAGGAATAAGATGGCAGGTAAAATATACCACCATATATTTAAAATACTGACATTACACACGGTAAAGCATGTATATATTACTTATTTAGATATTTTACATTTTGTAGTGATTTAGCTGTTATTAAACTGGCTGACCTAGCTGAATGTGGGTTTGTTAAGGAGGAGGAAGATGAGGAACAGGCAGATGGATTCTGTTGGTAGAGTGCCAGAGCAGGAACCGTGTGCTTTGTTTTTTGGAGGAAAGGGATGGGAGGAAAATGGAGGAGGGCGTTGGTGGAGCACCTACATCCCTTTCCTTCTTCCCACTCTCTCTCTCACACACACAACACAACACAACACAACACACCACACCACCTTCCTTCTTTTTCCTCTTCCTACTCCTGATGTACTTAAAACGATGCTGCAGGTGTGTCAAGAAGGGCCTCTCTGGTTCTCCTCATCCTTTCTGTTTTTTGACTTTTTTCATTTTGTTGACTTTATTCTTTCATTTATGGAGATGTGCTTTAGAGCTTAAGCAATTAGTCGGTAGCAAAAATGCCAAACATTCTCTGGTTCTAGCTTTTCACAGATGAGGATTTTGCTGCAGCAGGGATAGGGAGACTGGTCATTGCTTCATTCTGCTCTCCCTCAACAAAGTACAGAGATATAATCACCTTTATTTGGCCAAATATGTTACACACACACAAGGAATTTGTTTCCGGTACAGAACCAAGGCAGCCATCTGCGGCACCAACTCACACCGATGGCTCTAACCATCAGGGGCAACTTGAGGGTTCAGTGTCTTGCCCAGGGACACTTCAACATGTGGACTGCAGGCACCGTGATTCGAACCTCCAACCCTCCGGTTGGAAGGCAATTGCTCTACCCACTGAACCCCAGTCACCCACAAAGAATCAAAGAAAACATGCTTTGAAGCATGCAGTACCTCAGACATGGCTCAAGGTTCACCATCCAATAGGACAGTGGCCCTAAACATACAGCCAAGTCAATGCTTGAGTGGCTTAGGAACAATTCTGCCAATGTCCTTGGCCCAACCTGGACTTTAACCTAATTGAAAATCTCTGGATAGACCTGAGAATGGCTGTTCACCAATGGTCTCCATTCAACCTGACAGAACCTGAGGATCTCCAGAGAAAAATGTCATATCTCCAAATCCAGATGTGCAAAGTTTGTTGCATCATACCCAAGAAAGATTAAGGATGTAATTTCTGCTAAAGGTACCTCAACTCAAAGTACTGAGTAAAGGATCGGAATACTTTCAAATGTGATATCAGTTTTTCCCTTTTTAATAAATTTGCTACAATTTTTAGGTTTTCACAATGTCAATGACATATTTTGAGACTAGATAAGGGGGAAATTTTTAGCATAAACCTTATTCAGACCGGGTTTCCACAGTGTTAGACAAAAAAAAAAAAAAACAGCCCTCTTTAGTCATTTCTATGGGGGATTGCGTTCACTGCAGCTGACACCAGCACCGCAGTGGGATCCGGCAAAACGATGCAACCTCCCGTGGCAAAAAAAGTTGGATCTGGTCCACTTTAGCTGCTCCAGATGGTGACATCATCTGGCAAAGCTGCTAGATTGACCAGTCACATGCGGGGGACGGTAGATGCCCACAGAAAGAAAGATTGACCAGTCACATGTGGGGGACGGTAGATGCCCACAGAAAGAAGAATCTTTTGTTTACCTTGTTACCGTGAGCATTCACTGCTCTTCACTTTCAAATTTGGGTCACAGGTAATGCACCATAATGGCACGCAATGCATTTCTTGTTGTTTAGTGTACTAGATGTTGGTGTTCTTATTTCAGTGCAGATGCACTGGTGATAGAATTGGTGCTAACAAAGAGTAAGCTACGTTAGAAACATGGCTAACAAAAACGCAATGGAAATGTGAAAGAAGCCACGTCAATTTGTCGACGTGGCTTCCGACGTGGCTACCTCATAACTGTTCGTAATGAAAGATATCTCCCAGTCCTTTTAACCAGGAACTCAGAGAGACGAGGCGGACCACTTGCATATAAAAAATAGCCGTGCTGGTTTACTCAAAAGATCACAGGTAAAATTAACATTACACGTCCAGGTATCTTCACCTCCAATACTGCACGCAGGCAGACTGAGAATGAAAGACCCCGAACCCAACAGGCCTGTACATTATATCTGGTTTGGGCTAACCCCATTCTACACAGCGACGTCAAACCGTG